GGCCGGAGGTCAGACTAGATGACCCGGGAGGCCCCTTCTGACTCGCTCTGTTTCCATGTTTCTATGTATGCTCTGGTAATCTCTACATTGGATAACTACGGTGTACTCTGCATGGGGCTGCCCTTGAAGACACTCTGGAAGCGACAGCTGGTGCAGTTTCCAAAACCAGGCAGCCTGATGGACTCTCGGGACTGGAAGACCCAAGGCCAGTTCAGGGGCCCCAAGAGATCAGCTAGTCGAGCCAGGCCCTCTACAGGTGCTACCCTGTGCCTCAGTCCTCAGCTTTCCTTTCCTGTCCTTTGCTCTTTTGGACCGGTTCCCACTTGGCTTTGCCCGAAGTGAGAGCTGTGCTAGCCTTTGAGATGTGAAGCAGGAAGGTTTGCCATTTCTGCATTGCTAAAAGGGGACTCAGTGTTGCATAGTTTGCCTGTGCTAAAGTGTATGTATAGATGTACCTTGGGGGACCGTGCCTACAAAAGGAAGAGAAAGAAATCTCACCGTAGTGGAGAAGATGGAGGCCGCGAGACCTTCTGGCCTGTTAAATGTCTGTAGCCCAGGTGCTGCTAACCTTGAAAGGCTGTGTCGGCACCCCATTGCTCTCCCTTTCTCAGTTCTTCATTGTAAAACTTGACTTGGACCAGTCCTTTCAGTAGACCGGGGGTCGCCTTCTGATATAGGCTTTGAAAGTCGGACAAATGGTCATTCTAGGAGCTGGACTCATCATCTCTGTTTGGCTCAAGGGAAATTCGTCCGTCTCCCCCCCCCCCCCGAAGGTGAAATAATGGTTCTTGCCATGTTCCAACCGGCTTTTCTTTCTGAGGTTGGCTGTTCCAGGCTCCCCGCCAGGTACGGTTCCAATGGAGACATCTTCTCTAAAGAGAGAAAGCAAGCAAGCAAGCAAGCAAGCAAGCAAGCAAGCAAGCAAGCAAGCAAGCAAGCAAGCAAGCCAAATGTTCTGTATTTATTGATTTTCTGCCTTTATAGCCTGGCATTTAGGATGACTGCCCAAACAAGGCTACTTGAAAGATTTAAGAACAATGAAAGCACACTGGATAGAAAAATAGGAGAATGAGTAACAGCAAAACAGTGTGCTGGAGAACGATGCAAAACCAGCACAGTTAAATTTCTTCGACCCATGCTAGCACGTCCAAATAATACATTTTAAATTATTAGAAGATCTTCTAATACAAAAAGTGTATAAAATCCCCAAAAAGGGAGAAGCACTTGCCAAATTTCCCCATGGAAAGGAGTCTGTCATCTAGGTGCCACCACAGAAAAGACTGTGTCTCTTGTTCTTTGGGTTTGGGCAACAGCCTGAAGAGCACTAGGTGCTGGGAAGTGAATGAATTGAAGGTTGTTCAGACAGAGGGCCCATCAGGAGGCAAGCTAGGTGTGAGCTTCCCACATCAGCGGAGTGGTGTATCCACTCTGTGTTTTAGTCTGGGCTTCCAAAGAGTGCTGAATCCTGTCCCACAAAATAGAATCTGCTACAGCAAAATCTTATGCCTCAGTGAAGCCCTTTGGCCTGCAAATTACCACCCCACCTTTGGGAATGTAAAAGTGTAGTTGTTACTCACTGCTGTAAATGCAGTTAATTGCTGGTGGTGGTTCATTAGGCTCTGTGCTAGCCCTTCCATCTGCAGCAGAGGAGGAGAAGCCCCCCCACCTGCAGAGAATTGGGGGACCCCCAAAGTTGCAAGGAAGCTGCTCTGGGGATGGGAGCAGTTGAAAAGCATCAGACCATCTCTTGTTAGTGCAGGGCCCCTGCTGATTCTCTTGCTTGTGGCCCACAACTCCCATCTCCCTCATAATTCACTTGTTGGCTAGGGATGATGGGAGTTGTAGGCCACACATCTGGAGAACTGCAAGTTGCCTGCCTCTGTCAGTTGAGGCCTCTTGTGGAGTGAGCCCATTATTATTATGACATCTGTTATAGGGTGCTTTAGAAAGAACAAGAGAGCTCCTTGCCCCAAGGAGCTTACAATCTAGAAAGGGAAAGCAGCGGAGGATCAAGAAGCAAGTGGAGCAGGAGCACCAGCCAGTTTTGCTCCCCCTGCTTTGGTTTGGTTGAAAAACAACCTCCTTCTGCAACCCAACTTGTTGGACTGCACCATCTATCCTCCCCACCCAGGCTGGCTGAGAATGATGGCACTTGCAATCCAATCCAGGCTGAGGAAGGTTGCAGGAGGATGCTGGAATGAGAGGGGTATTCCAAAGGCTGCATGGGAAGGGTGAGGTTTTGGAGAGGGCCATATGTCTGCGCGCCTGCCCAATTCTTACTCATCGGGCGCTGATCCGGTGAAGGAGTCAGTTGCTGCCAAAAGAAGGGTCATGCTGGGACGTGGCGGGAGAGGACAACGCTCTCCCCATGTGGGGATGAGTCCATGCCAGCCACGCGGCTGCCAGCTCGTGTAGGCAGTCTCTTGTTGAGGCTGGCCTGATCCGGCTGGTGCCTGCAACTGCCCCCGTCACAACCGACTCAATTTATGACTTTGCTGGTGGTAGAACATCTTCTTTTACTGTTGTGTCCGTGATCTTTCCTGGAATTCGCATCTACTGCACAGTTTACAGGCTAAATGAATGGAATTTCTGGTGTTAGGCAGTAGAATTTATAATATATTTATCTGCAGTGGCATTTTTATGTTCTAATCTTATTATAATCTAGGGTATATTTTATGGTGATTTCCCCTCTAAGTCATTGCTTGGATTAATTTAACTCCCCTTCCCCTCTCTTTAATGGTCCATTTAGAGGTTCCCAAAATTTTTCAGTGGGTGGGCACATTTCAAATTTGGGAGAGTGTTGTGAGCACTCTGACAACATGGCTGACATGGGGCTCTTGCTCATTCACTCAGTGCCTCCTGGGATTGCATGTTTGGTCGCAAAACTTGCATTTCCCAGAAGGCAAACTGGTGAGAATCCAGGGAAAGTGATGATCATCCTCCGGAATGTGCAGCCTTTGGAAGTCCGGAAGCCTGTTTGGAACATGGATTACCTGTTGTGGACACTGTCACAACATGGTGGCCATCAATCGTCATTCCCCAGAAGAGAATAAAAATAGACTTGCCCCAGTCTAGTGTGCAAGGCAGAGATGGGATGTGTAGTCCAAAACACGAGTCCTTTCCGTTGAGCCCAAAGAACGATGGTGCCGGACGGCAATCGTTCTCCTTGCAGTCTGGCAAGCTCACTGCTAAACAATAGTAGTATTTTTAAAAGATCTTAGGAAATGCAGTTCAAGTGAGAAGAAACGGGGCCTCGTGAATGCCAAGAGAGTTTTCTGCGGGCCCACATGGAGATTTCAGCAACTGCAGCTCCACCCGGGGGCTGAGGGCCACAACAGGGTCCAGAGTACGAAGCAGTCCTGACCTCCGTGCCAGACCAGACCTGTTCTGTGGCGTATGCACCTGAGCTGGGAAGGCCAAGCTCTCCCTCTGGGTGATGCTAATGGGGAAAACAACAAGGAATCACCAGCTCCTCTTGGACCGCCTCCATCACAAAAGCTTTTCTGTATTCAGATCAGTCTGGAAGGCAAACAGCAGCTTGCAGGGAAGCTGTTTTCAGCAATGGTCAATGGCCCCCCAGCCCCAGGCAAGATAGGAAAAGGGATTCTTTGGGTTGTGGGGGGGATTCCATACCCCGTGGACTGAAGCAGAGGAACAGCCTCTGGGACAGCTTGATTTGCTTGTTGAAGTGGAAGCAGCAGTGTGGGGAGAAGGCCGGGGGGGGCAGAAGGTTTGAAGAGCAGGAGCAACGCCCGGGGGGGGGGGTCTTAGTCATGGTCTCTGACTTAAGGATGGGACCTTGGCACACGTCCCATCAGGCTTACTCTTGACTCTGGCCCTAGTGCCAAGTTTTGTGGACTAATCTATGCAGGGACGAGGTGCCACAGAAGCTCCTTCCTGCTGCAATGAACCAGTTACTCTTTGTTAGTCTTTTCTCCATCCACGGTGCTCCCATTTCAGACAGATTTTCCCTGCATATAATCAAATGAATAGAACATTTTTAAGGACTGTGTTAACTCCTTGGATTACTGCAATGCACTCTACGTGGGGCTGCCCTTGAAGACGGTCTGGATACTTCAGCTGGTCCAGAACAGAGCTGCCAGGTTGTTAATGGGGACCGGCAGGTACGGACACATAACGCCAGCCCTTTTCCACCAACACTGGCTACCAGTTGAAGCCTGGGGCCAATTTAAGGTGCTGGTGATGACCTATAACGCCCTAAATGGCTTGGGTCCGGGATACCCGAAGGAGCGCCTTCTCCCCTAGGTGCCCTCTCACCCCTCGAGATCTGGGGCAGAGGCCCTGCTCCGGGAGCCTCCTTGAAGGAAGTTAGGAGGGAGAGTACCTGGAGGAGGGCCTTCTCTGCGGTGGCGTCCCGATTGTGGAATCCGCTCCCAGTGAGGTCCGCCTGGCTCCGTCATTATATTCCTTTCAGCAAGCCCCTTTTTATTTTCCCATTATTTTACTGTTTAATTGATTTTAACTGTGGTTTTTGTGTATTAATTGTCAGGTACTGTGGGGTTTGTTTTATTCTACTTCTTTAGAATACGTAGAATAAGTACTTATCTACTCTGGGCAGTTCCAAAGGGGAACAAGAGCCTGCACCAGCACCTTGACTTTTTTAACCCCCCCCCCCAACCTGATTTCAGGGGGACACTCAGCATCCTTGGGTGGCCCACCATCTTCTGAGGCATCTCTCATCCTAACCCAAACCCGAACCCTTTTGATAAACCCCGAAAATCAAGCACCCAGCCCTCCCACTTCCCCCACAAGAACCCAGTCCAGAAAAATACAAGGAGGGCTGGCTGGCTCGGTGAACCCCTCAGCTGCTGTCCCTGCGTCGTCTTCCCAGAGGCAACGGCGGTTGTGCCCAGCTGACAGAGTGGCTGGCTTGTTCGGTTGTTTTGCACAGCAGAACGTTTTCCCTTGCAGGTGCGGCTTTCTCGTCCCCTGCCCCACGTGGGCGGTTTGCTGAGAATGAATTTCCCCTTGTCTTTCAGGTAGCGGCCCAAGAGTTGTCCGACAACCGTGTGATTACGCTCAGCATGGCGGGCAGAAAGCTGGATAAGAAGGTACGTGTTTGGGGGGGCGGGGGGTGCTCGCCACACAAAAAATGCATCCGTGCCGACACTCGATAGAACGAGCTGCGAAATCTTCTGTGTTGCTGCCAGGTTTGGACCGCTTCGGTCTTCAACGGGCAGTGGAACCTCACCGGGCAAACCCCTAAGTGTGTGGCAAGTGGCTTCTTCCTCTGGTTTCCGCCTCAGATGTCTGGCGATGTAAATATCACTGACTTACTTTCCGAGGACATTCACATTCAGCACCCATGAAGCAGGAGCAGGGTGGGTGGAGGTCCTGCGTGCATGACGGGGAGCGGCAGAAGGCCTTCCGGTTGACTCTGCGTCTCTGGGTAGGGCTTTGAAAGAAGCCTGCCTGAAATTCTAGGAGCAGCTGCCAGTCAGTGTTGACAATACTGCCCTGCATGGACTAGTGGCCTGTTGTTTAAGGTTGGTTCTGAGGTTCCTCTGATAAAAGCAGTGATCAGATGCTTTGAGAGGGTACTAGACACAGGAGGTCTGGTCTGAGCCCACTTGTAGCGTGGATTTATCATGCTGTGCATGCAGCGGGGTGCAGAGAGCTATGAAGCTAGGAAGCATGCAGCTCTCCCATGCTCACAAGCTGCACTAACACTGGGAGAGGCAGCAGCTCACAAACTGGCAGCCGCTTTCCACACAGAGGCTCCATGTTCTCCCAGGAAGCTCTGGAGAATCTCCTGCTTGACTTTGCAGAAGAAGCTGCCGGTCAGTGCTGGCAGCCTCGTGGGCAGGCATTAGCCGAAGGGAGGCCATCCCCGAAAGGCAGAGCACGTGCTTTGCGTGCAGGAGGTGCCATTCCATCCCCAACATTCCCAAGGAGGGCTGGGGAAAACCCTGCCTGAACTCCTGGCGGGTCACTGCCAGCCCGTGTCAGCACTACTGGGCCATATGGACCAATAGCCCATAGAAGACAGCAGCCGCTGCTTGTAATGGCTTTTGTTCACAAGACTTTCATCCACCTTGAGCTTGGCCCAGCATCCTCCCAGATTCTGTTCTGCTCCGGACAGAGAACTGTTGGGTTCTTTTGGAGATTTGGTGTTTTGGGGTTGCAGGAAACAAAGGGACAACGTTGTTTTCTCACGAGCGATGGGAGAGCAGGGTTCCTGCTAGGTGTGAACCAGATTTGCATACAAGGGGATTCTTGGGATGCGGCAGAGGCACAGAGGTGGGGAAAAGAAACTGGGGAATGGAATAAGAAGTGCAACTCTTCCCAGACTGTTTGAAGACCTGCTCAGCGTCCCGTGGTTTCTGAGCCCTTGCCAACCCACTCACCTTCCTGCACATCCTCACCTCATGAGATACAGAGGCTTGCTTTCATTTTTGAAAGAGAATCTTACTGCTTTTCTGAGTGCTAATCCTATGTGCTGAAGACATGTTGTGTTTGGCATTTCTCCTGCTGTCCTTTTAATGCCAGGAAAAGGCTTTTAGAAATTATTTCCCCAAGCTTTTTGGATGCAATTTTAATCCCGCTGCCTGTTTTAGTCTGCCTTTATGAGGCGTGGCTGCAGCGTGCTTTGCTTTGTTTTTGTAAAGGTGAGGGAATAGCATGTTGAAATTCTTAGAATAATCAGACAAGCACACGGGGTCTGTGGCAACAGAGATGAGCACCATGTGTACGCCTTTGAGAAGCTTTCCGCATCTGTGAATCAAGTGGTATAAACTGATTGTAAACAAGCAGGGTTTTTTTTTTTAGTAAGCAAAGCTGTACAGGCCCCGTTGAGAAAGATGCTGCAGGAATGCCGGCGAGAGCCGGTTTGTTTTTTGTGGCTGTTTCATGCCGTGCAGGCCAGGATCATCAGGCCAAACCTGAGGAGTGCTCTGCATTTTGTTGCTTGGGATGCTGCATTTTTCCTTGGAGATGTCTCTGTTTTAAAAATACATCTATTTCCAGTCTTCTTTCCTGAAGATTCCTCTCCCGGCGCACCACTTGGAATTCAAATCATTGCCCGTTCAAATGATTATCCGTCCATTGAGAGCCCATGCGTTGCAGTGGTTCAGAGCACGGGACTGGGACTCAGGCAACCTGGGTTCGAGTCCCTGCTCAGCCACGGAGGTAACTGGGTGACTGGGCCACTCACAGCCCTGCAGCCCAACCTACCTCGCAGGGGTGTTGGTGTGAGGATAAGACCAGGAGGAGGAGGAAAATTGTATAAGTCACCCTGAAAGGAAAAAAGGTGGGATATAAATATAAATATTAAACAAGCACACTGCTGACTTGTTTGGCTATTTATTTTCATTTATATGTTTACCCAGCCTCTCAAGGTACTTCTGTGAATGCTCAGGAGTACTAAGGGCTTCTTTGGGCATTTTGCACAAGTCCACAAGGCACGTGTACGGAAGCAGAACTGCTGCCACAGGGGGCCAGTGGCCAGCGCGTTTGCAAACGGGCCTCGCAGACTCGCGGCCTGCCGGCTGCCCGTGCAAACCCTCCATGCAAAGACCCTCAGGCTTAGGGAAGCGGGAAAAAGGCTGGAGTCCGGGAAGATAAGCTGTGGACATCTGGCAGATTTCTGTCCCCAGACTGGATTCGTCACACAGTGCTAGTTTAAAATGATACCGTAGCAGACCAAGACTGAGGGCCAAACCAGATCAGAGGCAGGAGACAAAGGAAGGTCTGCCCATCCATCTTTCCATCTGTCTGTCTGTCCATCCGCCCGCCCTTCCCTCCTTCCTTTTTTTCTTTATAAAAGCTGGATTGGAGAAATAGTTGAATAATATGGCAATACTCACGATCCATGGGTGGATTAGAAATGTAATGAAGAAACAGCCGACGGAGGCTGAATCCTAGCGTGCAGAGGGTCAATCCATTCCCGATACTGGATTGTACAGAACTGTTCTCTGCACAGGGGGAAAGTGCTCCCAGTGCTTGGCTGGGAATTGACCGGGGGTGTGTTTTGCACAGTGGAAAGGGTTATGCAGCCCCTCCTACCTGCCAGCCTTCTCCTCTGGATCGCAGCCACTGGAGTTGCTTTTGGCTTGTTCACACATCACCCACCTGCTGGGCACAGTCTCTTCTCCAGTTGAAGCCCTTGGTGCCCCAGTGAAGTTTCTCAGAGTTTGCCCATTGTGATGCCTTTTGTGTAGTCACACCACTAGCCAGTTTCATCCTAAGAATATCCATTGCTCTGGGGGAAGGAGGCAACTGGAGAGGGTTGCTACTCACCTGGGCTTAGATCGTCAAGACTGACTCACCTGGGCCACTTATTCCTTTGAATTCTATCACAGGCAGAATGTAACTCGCCTCATTTCTACTTCATAGCTTCCTGGTGCTGAGCAGAAATGATCTTATCCCCATTGCCGTGCATCTGCTCTTCCTCTTGCAGGACTTATTTGGAAAGTCGGACCCATTTTTAGAGTTTTACAAACCTGGGGATGATGGGAAATGGATGTTGGTGCACAGAACAGAGGTAAGTAGGGATGATTCTTCACACAAATTAGCATCACTCTGAGAAATGCAGAAGCATTTTGCAGCGCAAGCTGAGGACCTTTCGCCTGGGGGAGACCAAGGGCCACATGGGGGGGGGGCTGTATTTCTTTCCTGCCTTGGGAGCATTTCCTTAAAACTCCTTTGGAAAAGTGCAAGAAGCAGTTGTGACCGTCTCCATCTCTGCTGCCGCATTTTCTGGGCATTTGGGGAACATTTGGATGTAGCAGGCACAACATCTGCCCTTCAGCAGAAGTTGGAGGGAGATCGACGCGGGTGGGATGCGGGGAGGGAAGGCTTTGTCCTGCTGGGGTCCTGCTTGAAATTGCAATGGGAAGGAGTTGCCACTTCCTGGAGTGGTCCCAGGAGCGAGGAATATTATGCCCCCAGCTCTTGCTGTAGTGGGAGAGTTAGCTGACAGCAGCAAAACCCAGCGAGCTGGCAGGGTGAATTCAGAAGATCATCCCTCATAACTGGTCAATGGGCGTTGTAGGCCTAGAATCCTAGAATGGTAGAGTTGGAAGGGGCCATGAAGGCCATTGGGTCCAATCCCTGCTGTTGCAGGACACCACTCAGAGGGCCGTCCAGTTTCTTTCTGAATGTCTCCGGTGTGGGAGAGCCCACCGCCTCTCCAGGCAGCTGGTCCCACTGCCCTCTTGCTCTGACCATGAGGAAGCTTTTCCTGATGTCCGGCCTAAACATCTCAAGTGCCAGCAGTTGCCCTGCCTGAAAGGGGACTGCTCTGCCTGGCTGGTGGTGGCCAGCACGTCTAGTCCCAAGGCCCTTTGGGGAAAGGGCGCACTGCCGGAAAGCTTGGCGTTCCAGAGGCTGGGGAGGAAGGGGCTGCTGAAGGGGTGTGCTTCACATGCACTTCAGCTTTCTCAGCTATTATTTTATATCCATCTCTGGGTTGGTGATTTCTGGATTCTGGTAAAAAAAAAAATGATGTAGATCCTATCCCTGCTACTCCACCAAAGTTCATGCTGTAATAAAATTGCCAGTCTTTTAACTAGGAGTGCCTTTGTTTTTCAATGATGAAGAAGAAAAAGATGATACATGAACAGCAATCATGTAAATTATACCCTCTCTGGATTCTTTGAATGGCAGGAGAAGCCTGGCGTAGGGGGGAAATCGTTCAGCGGCTGGGTTTTAACCCACTGATTTCCAGAAGCACATTTTCTTTCTCTCCTGAGCCCTTTCACAGTGATGTTTGGCCTCTCTCTCTCTCTCTCTCTCTCTCTCTCTCTCTCTCTCTCTCTCTCTCTCTCTCACACACACACACACACACACACACACACACACGACTCCATGGCCTTAGCCCGGGAAAAGCAAGCCAGCTTCCAAGTTCTGAATCCAGACCTGTTTCTGTGAGGAAAAGGTTCACACAGTCCCATGGTCTCATTCATTGTCTGCTCTTGACACGCCACTTGCTTCCCCTCAATTTATTCTCATCAGAGCAATAATTACAATAACCGTGATTATTGTGCTGAACATCAGTCGCTTTCACAGCTAGGTCAAAATTGCCTCTCAGCCCCCTCCCCGCTTTTCCCAGTGCTGTCTTTGGCTCCAGTTCTCAGTGCTTCGCTGGCCGATTTTGTTCATCCGCGTACCGTGCTGTCATCACTGAAGCCCGGACAAAGATGCTCCAGGCAGACAGTGGCCCCTTCCACGCGTCTCCAGTCATTTATCACCACATTTATCCCAGTGAGGAGAAAGGGTTTTAGAAGTAAGTTTAGTGGTTCTGCCCTTGCGTGGTATTTCTTCCGAGAAAGGAAGGAAGCTTGCCAGATAAAAACTGCACTTAGAAGACTTTTAGCACACGAGTTTCCCATTTTGCAAGGACTGTACTTCACGAGTACCTCTGGAAAACCGAACAAGCGTTAAGAAAGATAATGGGTAGCCATAATTCTATTGCTTTCTTGTTGAGCAGCCAGAAAGGGATTTTAAAACAATTCTCCAAGCCAGAGCTTTTAAGAACCTTCGTCCTAGACAGTGGCTCTGCAAGGACTCTTACATGGAGACAATCATCTCCGGATTTGTTTTCTTCTATGCCAGTTCTAAATAATAGAAAGCAGAAGCCAGTTTGATCAGCTTTGCATGGCTCAGTATTCTTCTGCCCTTACATGATCCTGAAATTATTAAAAAAGGTCTTGGCATGAAGACAAGGTATTCTGGAAACACTGCTGGACCAGTTTGGTTTTGCACAAAATAGCAGGATCAGGTCTTGGGTGCATGTGCTCTCTTCAGATGAGAAACACCAAATTCCACTTTAAAAATAGCTGGAAGTTCTTGATGTATCCAAACTGAGAAGAACTCTGCTTAGTTTAAACTAGGGATTGTTGAAACAAGCCAGGATCGAGTCATGGTTTATCATCTTGGTTTATTTCAACAAATCATAGAAACATAGAAACAGAGCGAGTCGGAAGGGGTCTCCTGGGCCATCTAGTCTGACCCCCGACGCCAGCCGGCTCCACTCACGACATGCCCAAATCATAACATAAAAGGCTCCCTGTTCCTCATGAATTTTATTTCCTAAGATTTTTTAAAGTGTTTTTTAGAAATTGGGAGGTTTGGTGATCTTTTTTCCAAAACGCTGCCCACCGGTGCCATCTTTATTTGTGCTTTGAAACATAGTTTTAGTTTTGGAGTTTGTGCCTTGTACTTGCTTCCGGAGAAAGTGAATTTTCTTTTACTCCTACCAGCTGGCCTTCAGAGGATGCGTGGCACCCATTTTGTGTGAGTGCCCACAGTGTGCACTCAGACTTCCGAACGTGCTCATCCATCCCCTAGGAAAAGTTGGGGACCCCAAGGGCAGTTGCTGCACTGGGGTCTTCCCAGGACTTTGTACCCACACAAGGTGCCATTCCGTGTGGGGCTGAGAGAGCGACCCACCTAGTAACAGGGCCGGGGGGGGGGGGGGGGTGTCATCAGCATCATGTGGAACAACAATCCTACCAAGACAAGATTTCCGTTAGTGGTGGCACTTTTCCTAAGCGGTTATTTTTCTGTGTGGGTTGTTCTTCTAGACACCCACGCAGGCTTCAGCGTCTGGCAGTTTGGCACAGTCTCAGTTTTCCACTGTTCCTGCTCTCGGAGTGTCGGCTCCTCCCCAATCTGTCTAACTCCATGTGGGAAGTGTTTCCGGTCAAAGGAGAGATTCTATGAGTCTGTGAATGGCTGGGAAGCCTGCCGGCTCCTGACTTAGATCGTGGATTCACTGCTAAGATCTAAACTCGGGTGAACAGAGTGCAGACTTGTCAAATGCATTTGTTTATTTTACTGGATTAAAGAACACGGTGGTGCTGATCACGCTCCTGCGTCCAGGAAACTGTTTTCCATGCTCAGACTGAACTGAGCTTATAGGTAAAAGGCCATTCCTGGTTTCTGGCTGTCATACGTACAGCTTAGGGGACAGGTTAGGGGACAAGTGGCTGGAGAGCAGCACTTGTGAAAGGGACCTCGGGGTACTGGTTGACTGCAGGCTGAACATGAGTCCGCAGTATGATGTGGCGGCCAAGAGGGCGAACGCCACCCTTGGTTGCATAGCCAGAAGTGTGGCTTCTAGATCGAGAGAGGTATTACTACCACTCTACACGACTCTGGTGCGCCCGCAACTGGAGTACTGTGCTCAGTTTTGGGCCCCTCATTACAGGAAGGGTGTAGCCAGGTTTGAGTCAGTGCAGCGCAGGGCCACAAGGTTGGTGGCCGGTTTGCAGGGGATGGGGTATGAGGTGAGACTGAGGGAACTGGGTCTCTTCAGCCTGGAGAAGAGGAGACTCAGAGGGGATCTGTTGGCCACATACAGGCATGTGAGGGGATGTCACACGGAGGTGGGTAGAGGCCTGTTCTCCCCTGCAGAGGAAGGCAGGATGTGCTCCAGCGGAGCAAAGCTCAGGGAACCCAGGTTCCATTTGGATGCCAGGAAGCACTTCCTGACAGTCAGGACCCCGAGGGTGTGGAATGGGCTTCCCTGGGAGGTGGTTGAGGCCCCATCGGTGCGGGTGTTCAAGGATAGGCTTGGACGTGCACATAGTGGGCATGTCGTGAGCGGAGCCGGCTGGAGCCGGGGGTCAGACTAGATGGCCCAGGAGACCCCTTCTGACTCGCTCTGTTTCTATGTTTCTATGTCCCTCCCAGGCTGTCTTTGTTCCTCCATCCCTGCTTGCTTCCAAAAAAGGCCTTGATGGTGCCATTGCTTCACAGAATTTTACTGGGGGTCCAGGCAGCGTTATCTTCTGCCCGTAACCCACTCCTGACTCTGCCATCTTCCTGGCTGCAGAAAGCCATTCGGGGGAAAATGCTGAGTAGCTGCGTGGTGCTTGTTGATGTATAGTGCCAGGAGCACCAGTATTCGCTGCCAAATGTGTGCGGCCTGGCCTGACCCATGTTGGAGGGGCTTGGGAGGAACGTCTGGGGCAGGGTGCTTGAGGAGGTGCCCCCCCCCCGCCTAATGGTAGGGCTGGCCCTGGCAGCCAAACAGCCCACATGATCCTGTGGGCATGAACGAGAAAGGTCAGATGTGGTACGGGCCCCACAGGGAAAATGTGCATCATCTTAAAACCACGTGGGGGTGTCGCTCAAAGCCCACTGCATTTAGATTTTCCTGGTCGTCGCCCGGAGCTCAGCTCGGTCACACTTGGTAGCACTGTCTTTATTTGGCGGCTGTGATGGCGGATGCAGGTGGGCTAGAGAAGTCACATGTGCGGGTGGAGATTCTCATTCTTGCAGGAAGAATTGCACGCAGGGAAGAAAGCCGAGAGAAGCATTGCCGAACCTCCTCAGTGCGTCAGAGTTCAGGCCCCTTTTGCCCCATCCTCCCCCAGCCCCTCCGCGTGGGACTGAAAATTAGCACGACCTGTGTCTGCCCCCGAATTTTGCTCCTGCTGGATCGGGCTCCCGGGTGAGGCTGTGCCTGCAGATGCCCTTGCCTTCGCAGCCTTTCTCGGGGTGAAGCATGGAGGAAAGGGCTTGGCCGTGGCTGGGAGCCCCCGCCAGGGATCCCGTTTCTGCATGAAGGTGGGGGGGGGGGGGGGAGTAACTGATGTGCACAGCATCTTTTGCTACGACACAGCAACCCTGACTCCGGAGGAAGCAGGCTCAGTCGGGGAGACTGGTGGGCAGGATTCCACCCGCAGGCCGGGTGTTCTGCACCCCAGCTTTGTGTGACAAGGAACAGCAGTAGAGTTTACCCCGTGCAAAGATGTAGTTTGGCCTTCCGTGTCTGGCCTGTTTGGAGAAGTGCCGGTACCCAGTTCCTTCCATCCATCCATCCATCCATCAGTTACTTGAGCTCTCTCCTTTACAGGTGATTAAATACACGTTGGATCCAGTGTGGAAGCCCTTCACTGTGCCTTTGATATCTCTCTGTGACGGGGACATTGAGAAGCAGATCAAGGTACCAATGGCCACGCCTGTTGCATTTGGCTCTGCTGTCTCCGGTGCTGTGACAGAGAGCATCTTAAGAGCATCTTAATAAGAGCTGCTCGTCTGGAGAGCAGTGTGCCAAAATTGCTCTTCCACTGCCTGGAAGTCAGAGGACACGTAACCCTGCCTCCTCCTCTCCTACTGCCCACTTTTCCTTTTCCACTAACGAGTTAATTAAATTTAATGCTTTAGCCTTCCATTTAGCTCAATGGCCTTCGAATTTGAGGTCCTTCTCAGATATAGAAGGGATAAAAATGGTTTCATTTTTAAAAAACACACAGGCTCAGTTAGTGTTTTAACATCCCGCACGTCCATATATTGCAATACAATAGGCAAGCAATCTGTTGCAATATACCTGTTGAAACAGATGTAGATGTTTGGTGCAAAATCCATTTTTGCAACCTATGTCTCCTTTCAGTGGAATACATAAAAAACAAAGGAAGAAATTGAGGGAGGGGAAGGGGTGCGTAATTGTTCCCTGCCTTGCCCCTTCTTTCTTCTCCTAATTGCTTTTTTCCAGTGGGGATTTCCTGGATATATTCCCTGCAGTTCAGAGAAAAGCGGACTTCAAGGGGAAAGAGGCGGGTGGAGGGGTCAGCATAGGCCCCTTCCTAAATCACGTCCACCTTCCCTGCATCTTTTGGAGCTTAATTATTTTAGCCATTGCTGCTGCCTTCCCCCACCCCTCGCACCCAAAAAGGCCTGACTCCTCTCTCACTGTTCCTTTCAGGTTGTGTGTTATGATTACGACAATGATGGAGGCCATGACTTCATCGGAGACTTCCAGACCTCTGTCGCTAAGATGTGTGAATCTCAGGACATGTGTCCGGTAAGATGGGTGTCAGGAACAGTCCCTTCGGTGGAGAAATGGCAGTTCTCTCTGCAGGAGACTCTCCAGTCGGCAGACTCTGGCACCCATGCCTAGGCGTTGCCCAGGTGCTGCTTTGGGACCTCCCCTGCTAAATGGTTTGGGACTTTGTTCTCAAACACTGCTTTGTTCTGAGTGTCCTTTCGGCTTTGACCCAGTCGCTTCATTCTTTCTGGCGCTACTAGTACTAGCCCTCCGCTCTTCCCCGGTAGCATATTGGACACCTTCCGACCTGAGGGGCTCATCTTCCGGCATCACATCTTTTTGCCTTTTGGTACGGTCCATGGGTTTTTCATGGCAAGGGTACTGGAGTGGGTTGCCATTTCCTTCTCCAGTGGATCACGTTTTGTCAGAGCTCTCTGCTATGGCCTGTCCGTCTTGGGTGGCCCTGCACGGCAGCGCTCACAGCTTCATTGAGCTACGCAAGCCCCTTCGCCACGACGAGGCAGTGATCCATGAAGGAGGAAGGACCGTCTACACCTCTATATACCTTCCTTCCCCCTCAGATCAGCACAGGAGGCCCTCCTGCGTGACCCACCCTGCAGCCAAAGCCATCTGGCGCTATCTTTGTTTCTTGTTGGTGCCAGGCGAAGACACACCTTTAAAAAAAAAAAGAAAACTTAGCCCTTGTGATTGCTGGTAGCCTTTTTTATATTTTTAATTTCTTTTTTGTTTGTTTGTTTGTTTATTAAAAGCTTTTCTACCCCATCCACCACTAGCATCTCGGGATGGCTTACGATAAAACAAGTAGGATAAAACAAAAGACCACAGCATCAATGCATTGATGTTTTATTTTTCTAACTGTTTTAATAGGTTGTGATATGTTGCTACTTGTCTCCACCTAGGAAGGCCTTTGGCAGTCTTAGGTGGCATATAAGTATGAGAATAAATAAATAAATAATTTCCCAGAAGACGGTGGAAGTGCCATGGGAGGCTGCTGTGCCTTGTGGAGCCACTCAGTGGGTTTTTGGGCAGGAATTTGGGCTGCTCCGTACAGAGCTTTGCTTGCGTGTCAAATGAGGGCACTGGCTCCATAGATCCTGAGAGCAGGAGGGAAAGATAGACGTCTTGTTTAGGCCGGTGGCCACAGAACCTGACATGCCCCCCACCCCCGGACCCTGGGCTCCTCAGTCCCCCCTGATGGCTGAAAGGACCTCCTGGGGCACCCGCCAGTGTTGTGTGGGGCTTGGGGAGTTGGCCTGGGGCTCAGAAGTTCCAGAAGATGGACTGGGTGGCTTTGGGGCTCTCCGCCGAGCTCGCCTCACATTGCGGTGCGGGGAGCCCACGTGGTCCTCTGCGGGCACCATGCCAGAGGAAAAAGCAGCATATAAATATAATAAATAATGCGAAGCCGCTTCTGCGCTTTGGTCAGCCTGAGTGCTTTGCAGCCTAGATACAAATCTGCCAGAGCCGAGAGCTAAGTGAGAAGTGGAGGGATTAGTTTTACAACCGGGGTGGCATGCCTTTGTGGGCAGTCGGTAGGGGACCCCATGTCTGTGGAGGGGGCTGATGTGAGCAGTGGGTGGGAATGGACCCCTTGCAAGTTGCAACTGACCTTTCGGGGAAATGGCCTTCCGTTCCTCTCCTCATCCGTCCCTCACACCCAGCTCCCTGGGGATTCCCGAACAGAGACAGGACCTGGCCCACCCCTGTGTGGTCTCCAAGCGCCTTCATTTCTGCACCATCTGCTCTCTGGGACACCCGCCCCCCCGTGGCCACGCCAGGATGACCTAAGGCAGCTTTTCTCAAACCGAGTGCCAAATGCGGAGGTTTCGGACGATGCTTCTCAGCATTTCTGGCTCGGGGTGATCCAAGCTGAAGTCCAAAACATCCGCCGAGCACCAGGTTGGGGAAGGGTGCCTTTGTCAGCCTCGAAAGCCAAGCAGCTGCTGGGACCACAGTGCACGTCCTTTCTCAGTGAAGATGCCTGCGCAGACGGGGAAGTGCCCGTGTGCTCTTTGCTCGGCCTGCCGGCAGCCTTGGCGTTTCCTGGGGACACCCCTTCCAACGTGGCAGTTCTGTGATTCTGTGTCTTTCTTTCCTCCACCCCTCCCAAAACAGGTGGAATTTGAATGCATTAACCCGAAAAAGCAGAAGAAGAAACGGAGCTACAAGAACTCTGGCATCATCATCGTGAAATCCTGCAAAGTAAGTGCATCTCCTGAACAGTTCCTGCATCTCCACTTACATGAATTAAAACCCCGAGAGTTGCTGCTTGCCAGGAAAAACTCTCCGGGTTTTGGGGGTGGGGTGTAGGGTGCATTGAACCCCCTCCCGGCTGTATGCGATTTCCAAACAGTGCAAGAGGTGGAAATATTTCATCAGAAAAGCAAGTGGGATTTAGGTTCCCCCATCCTCACTCTTAAAAGAAATAGCCATCGGGGTTGTTGATGTTGTTGTTGTTATTAAACATTTCTATACTGCCTGTGGACAAATCTCTCTGGGCAGTTTGCAACAAAGTATAAAAACAATAAAGTGCAATAGATAAAAACAAGAAGCATTAAAATTAATTTAAATTAACTGAAAATAACATTAAAAGGAAGTTAAGAAGACCCGGCCAAGAGTAAAAGGCACCTGGCTAAAGGTACCAGGCACCTGAATGACCAGAGGCCTTTAACAGTCTCCGCCTAGAGGGTTCTCTTAACCTGGCACCAAAAAGCTGTCAAATTTGCCACCAACTTTGCTGCAGCAGGGAGGTTAATCCGAAGACGGGGGCTACCATTAAAAAGGCCCTTCACCTAGTTGCCAGCCTCCAAGCCATGTGCACACACAAAGCGGCCTTCTGCCAACTGACACCCTCCGGACACATTGAACCACCGTTCCCAGAACCGTTGCACCGGAGCCACTGGCTGTGGAAATGGTCGGGGTTGCAGTCCAGCCACTTGGGGCCCCAGCCCCGCTGGAGCGAGACGCTGCAATATTTGTAAAGAAACTGGGGGTGCCGCATTGTAGAAAACACTGATCACATTGTTCCCTGTATCGGGCTGTTTGTCTTTTACTAGATATGTTCAAGAAAGCAACTATGAGCGAGTGTGTTTGCACTTCCTTGTGAAAGAGAACAGTTATGGCTGCTCTGCTGAAAATACCTAATAAGTTGGTGTTTCCAGACTATTTTCAAAGGCAGCCTCATGCTGAGAGGTTAGCAGAACCTCTTCACCCTTTGCTGGTACAAATAAAGGTACACGCTAAAATTGTTCATTCAAAACCCTGTCCCAGTTTCTGACTATTGCTGTATTCCTTCCAAAGAGTGATAGTTGCCGAGAGATTTGTTTCATGGGGGTGGCGAACATATTCCCTTTTGTGCAAATATTTTGGTATTTCTGTGCAATCGGGCTTGCAGTAGATTAAAACTATCCTTCCTCTCTTATCTTTCTTCCTACCCCCAACATTTTAACGTCCTTCCAAAGGTCACCAGAGATTGCTCCTTCCTGGACTACATCCTTGGGGGCTGCCAACTGATGTTTACGGTAAGGGCCTTGGCCTTTCCCATTCAGTGAACTCTTTGGTGAACTCCGGATTGGCAAACTGGCTGCGAGGGGGGCAGGTGGAGCTGGCTGGATTCAGATTGGTTGGCGGGAGGTGGAGTCAGAGCTGGCCGCAGAATCGGTCTCAAAATGCTTCTCGGTGGCGCCTTTTCAGACTGGGGAGAGGGAACGCGGGGGAACCGCGGGACTCAGCCCTGGCCCCAGCGCTGCTCGATGCCTTTACTACAGTCTTGGACAAAGCCACGCAGGGAATGCCAGTCAGACCTGCAGATGACACAGCACTGGCCGGGATAGCAAGCGCCCCGCGAGACGGAAACAAGATTTAAAGCGACCTTGATAGGTTGGAGCTGGACTGAAGGCGAGGCCGGAGGTGACAGTCGCCATGACGGTTTCAAAAATGCCTTTGGCCGATGAGTTTTTATGAAATAGGCGTGTTGCTTGTGTCTGCTAGGATTAAGACCAGAATTTTGCTTCTGGGGTAAGGTCATTCAAAGACCCATCATCCTTGACCCCGTGCCTCACTTCCACCCACTTAGATTATGGGGGAATTTGGCTGTCCCAGGAAGGGCAGTTTGGGTCACAGCAGCCTTGAGAAGTTGCTGACTTCTGCCAGTAGGCAAGCATTTCCAGTTTCATAGGGGGCCACCACCTGTCAGGCCTTACAAGATGCCAAGTGCAATAGGATGGTGACATCAGCCAGGTAAGAAGAGCAGCACTGTAATTCGACTGGCCCAGTCAATTCGTCTGAAGAACTCTGCACTGCTTGATGCCTTTCCTTCCACAGTGGATCAGTTTCCTTCTGAGACTACGTTCATTTGGGGCCACTGCAGCCATGTTACACATAATTCCTTGGTAACCCGATTCCTTGAGCTAATTTTGAATTATGACCCAATTAAACTGGCTGGTTGCTCACACAAGCAGGTGTGGCCCAAGACATGAGGGAGAAGTTGCAGACATTTTCTCCCTTATAAACAGAGAAGGGAAAATTTTAGTTCCAGATTTTAGTAACAAAAGATCAGAAACAACAGGAAGCAACATTTGCGAGGAAACAGGAAAATAATATTGGACACAGAGTATTAATCCTTACGATTAAAATATGGGGGAGTAAAGCTACGGAAAGATTCTTGAGGTCAGTGAGGCAAATCAATTCAGTGTTGGACACAAAAAAGTAAAAAGCATCACTCAGAGAGCTTTGGCGATGGGAAAACGCGGTACGTAAAGAAATATTTGCATCCCATGCAGCATCCGCATCTCTCCTGCGAAATGCCCGGGGCAGGGGAGAGCAAATGCTTGGAAGGAGAGACTAAGTGCCTTTGGACACCTCTGACTGTGCTTGCTTGACTCACGGAGATGGTCTGAGTCCCTTCCAGAGCAGAGCAACTCCCTTAATGTCTCGCGGCTGGATTCTTTTGGAGTAACCTCAGTGAAAACTCCTCTGTTTATTCCTTGTGAAGGTTGCTGGCACTCTGCTTGCATGTGCTGCCTTTTTGCACTGTTCTGTTGGTGAGATTCCTCTTTCAGTGGGGACCCGCCACAGCTTTTCATCCTGTCTGCTTCACATAAGCATCCCCCACACTTTGCCCTGGGCATCTTCATTAGAAAGTAGCAGGCGAGAGTTTGGGGAGGGGTAGTCTGTACAAAAATGCCGAAGTTATGTTTTTATTTGTTGTTTTGGTCCAAGAGGCAAAAAGGGGAAGGGAGGAAGTGTTGCTATAGAAACAGCGAGTGCAAATGTGCTATATGTGCACCTGAACTATTGCATAAAGGTTTGCTGGCACAAACACAGGAAATAATTTATTTGGACAGCAGATAAAGGAGTGCTGAAAGCTGGAAGTGTCTGTCCAAAACTTGTGCAACGAAAGAGCTGTGTGGTTTCTCTTGCAGCGGAGTTAGCAAGTATTGGCATTCTGCAATGACTCTGTACTGTCTAAGCAGGCAGCAATTGCTTAGCCTTGGACAAGGTGAGCCCGGGACCCTTTATTGTTGCTACAGCTCCATCACTGTGCAGGATGCGGGAGAAAGAGGAAGCCGGGAGATCTCTGAGCTTGCAGGCTAAAATCACAGAGCTTGCAGGCTAAAATGAAATGCTAGGAAGGCAATAGAAGCTGGGTGGGTGATGGAGGTGGCAGGATCCATGGTGAAAACATAGAAACATAGAAACAGAGCAAGTCAGAACGGGTCTCCCTGGCCATCTAGTCTAACCCCCGGCTCCAGCCAGCTCCGCTCACAACATGCCCACCATCTGCATGTCCAGCCTATCTGTGAACACCCTCACTGATGGGGCCTCAACGACCTCTTGTGGAAGCCTATTCCACACCCTCGGGGTCCTGACTGTCAGGAAGAGCCCTGGGGGACCCTGCTTGTCACTGGCCGCCATCCCGATGATTCCCCACTAATGGTTACCCTCTGCTTTCGGCCAGTCACCCATGCCCTAATCCACTGGACAGTGCTTTGGTGTATCCCAAAATTCCTCAGTTTCTCCACCAGGATACCATGGGGCATGTTGTCAAAGGCCTTGCTGAAATCCAGGTATACCACATCCACGGCATCCCCTCCATCTAGCCACCTCGAAACCTTGTCCTAGATTCCACAAGGTTTGTCTGGCAGGACCTGTTTTTGCGGAAGCCGTGTTGCATGGCTGCCAGCCTCCCTTCCCTTTCGAGCACCGCTAGATCTCTCTCTCAAACAGAGCTGTCCCCATTTTTATATTCCTTGGTTTCGGGACACAGTGGAGTTGGGTACATGCGTGCACACTCTGGCCAGTTTCAGCCTGGACGGCAAATTAGATTGTTAGAGGCAAGCTGTTCAGGAAGTTCTAAGTTTGCAGAAAGCTCAGTGGAAGCCAGGAAATAGAAACTGCGACTGAATGGGGTGGGGGAGGATGGGGAGAGACAAGGGAGGAAAGAATTCCGGAAAGGGGCTGAACAGCTGGGACCGGAGACCTTGCTGAGAGAGTGCTGGACTTGCGCACGTAAGATGCCCCTTGGATGAAGCAGGAAAGTAACCTGGTTAGGTTGCATGGGAACAATTATCCCTGGTTATTTTGTTACATTTAAAAAAATATTTTCTGTGTGTATATCCATTCCGTTGTTAAAACTTTTTCTTATTAACATTTTTCAGCAGTAAAATGTGAACCTTCTTTGTTGGAAAAGCCTATTATTTTAGGCTGCCCCCCCGCCAACCACTGCAAGCTCGTTTTTAGAGAAGGATGGTGAACAATTCCAGGCATCTGGAGGGCTCAAGTTTAGGAAAGGAGGTGGCAGCAGGAGAAAATTGGCATTTTTGTTTGCATCAGAATCAGTATTCCAGGTTTTGTTTTGTTTTGTTTAAGGATTTTTCCAGGAAAAACTGCCTGGTCAGAATTTTTTTTTTATTAGATTTGTTTGGAAGCTGGCCGATAATCCATGGAGCTGCTGCAGGGCATGGTTTCTAACGAGTCTGGATCTTGCGCTGCAGGTTGGCATTGACTTCACGGCCTCCAATGGGAACCCTCGGGACCCCACCTCGCTGCACTATATCAACCCCATGGGGACAAACGAGTACCTCTCAGCTATCTGGGCAGTGGGACAGATCATCCAGGACTACGACACGTGAGTGCTGCTTCCCGGAGGCCCCCGGGAACGTCTTGCGGTGTGAGACTCTGCCCTGGCGTGCCGTGTGGAGGACAGCTCAGGCCTGCAGCCGTCTGCCGTGCTCTTTTCCTAGCAATACTTCCGAGCCCCGTGCGCCTCCCGTCTTCCGAAACTCAAAAAAGGGCGTGGGGGTGGGCCGTCTGGCTGTCATCAAGAAAAGGTCTGAAGACCACGTCTCCCCTTGCTCACCAGCCCCAAAGGGATTGTCCAGGCCACCTGACCGGTTGACCGGCAATCAAATACCATATTTTGTGGCCTTTTGTAACGTTTATATCCCAATCCTCACCTGTGGTATATTACACTGCTGGGCTATAAACAAACTAGTTTGTGTGTTGTCTTTAGATGCCATTCATTGCCACAGTCTTTGGACGGCTTACAAAGAATAAACAGAAAACAGACAGACAACACACTGCATCCGACCATTAATGATAAAATCAAAGATAAAACCAATTAAATATGAAAATGTTATGAAAATTAAAAGGTTTTCGCCTGAAGCTGAATAGAATGAAGCGATGGTGCCAGGCAAACCTCTCTGGGGAGCATGTTTCAAAGTTGGGGTGCCACCACCAAAAAGCCCTTCTCCAGGTAGCTATGCTCCTAATTTCCTTCAAATTTCCTACCTCTGCCTCTGATCTCAAGGGAGGGGGCCAGCACATGGGGAAGGAGGCACTCCTACTGTAATGTGCTCTACATGGGGCTGCCCTTGAAGACAGTCCAGGTACTTCAGTTGGTTCAGAATAGAGCAGCCAGGATGTGAACGGGGACTGGCTGGTTTTCACGTATAATGCTGGTCCTCTATCAGCTACACTGGCTACCAGTTGAAGTCCAAGCCCAATATAAGGTGCTGGTCATGACCTATAAAGCCCTAAACAGCTTGGGTCTGGGGTACCTGAAGGAGCAGCTTCTCCCCATGTGCCCTCCTGCCCCTTGAGATCTGAGGCGGAGGTCCTTCTTTGGGAGACTAGGAGGGTGGCTACCCAGAGAAGGGCCTTCTCTGTGGTGGCACCCTGGTTATGGAATACACTCCCCAGAGAGGTTCATCTGGTACCAACACTGTATTCTTTTTGGTGTCAGGCCAAAACCCTTTTATTTTCCCAGTATTTTAAGTTTTAGATTGTTATTTTAATTGGGGTTTTATTGTATAGAAATGATGCTTGTTTTATTGTAAGACCGTCCTGAGACTATTTTGAAGCGGATGGTATTGAAACGTTTTAAATATGACAAATACATGCTTTACTTGATATATCAGGTAAAAAGGCAAAGAAGATAGAAAGAATAAAATACATAATTTAAAACAAAACGTTAAGAAAAATGGGCCGGTCAAGCAACAGCTTGTGCATTCCTCATGGGCTTTGGAAACAGACAGGCATTGAAATGCTGGATCTGGTATTTAAGAGAGAGAACTATGTAAAATATGGGAGCCCTGCTTGGGAAATGGTAGGGACTCCAGTGCAGAAGGAGACCTAATCCATGTCCTTTGAACCTAGCGGAATAAGATGTTCTCCGCATCTCTCTTGAACTTTCAGCATTTACTTGGGCGGCAGAAGGTTTCTTTTCATGGCTGAGTCCTTGGGTTTTGCACTGGCAAGGAGAAGGGAAGAGGTCAGCATTGACTGTGTCCCCTGTTTTCTCAACATTTTTTCTTCTGATCCTTTTGTAGAGATAAAATGTTTCCTGCCTTGGGATTTGGTGCCCAGTTGCCCCCAGACTGGAAGGTAAACGTGGTCCGTTGCGGTCTACTTTTTCATGCCCGTAGCACGGATGGAGTGCGCATTTCAGTGATTTCTACTTGTTTTGGTCTCAAATGGCATGAACAGGAAGCTGACTCTACTAGGAGATCAAAGCTAAAAGGTTCTGACAGCCAAGAGTGGATCGCACCTGTGTTCCCAATGGAGAGGTGTAGTGTACAGTCCCTGGCCCCGCAGAATTCTGGGAGTTGTGGTCCAGGGGCCTCTGAAGGCCACCAGCTTGGGGAAGGGGACTAGGAGTCCACCCAAGCTTCAGCCAGAGGTGAAATTCAACTCCTTCCAGGGGATACGCCCATGGCTGTTCTGCCTGAGGAGTCCGACTCCCCAGGTCTCCTAGCGTAGGGGTCCCCTTGGCATTGCCCACCCCTGGAGCGCCAGCCGCTCAGGGGAACTGGATTCCTTCAGCCGAGCCAGGACATTCGCTCCCCCCGGGGCAGGCCGAAGTGCCTTCTGTGTCCTGGTTGAGGGACCCTCTTTTACTCTTGGCTGCTGCCCAACGGCCAGGAGGCCCAGTAGAAATCCGCGGGCATTGATTCTCCTGCTCCAGTGTAGCAAAGATGCCAGATCGTTGTGTTGTGAATGGAACCACTGGTTCTGATCCATACAGGTTCAGGCCTGGGAGTGACTCATCCCCTCCTGAAGTATCCGATGTTGTGTCTGCCTGTCATTATCCTCCTGTCCAATCCATTCAGTAAACATCTTTCCATCTCAAAAGTGTCCAATTTGCTTTTTCAGAGGCTCGGAATATCAAAGGCTGGCATTTTAATGGGGTTTAAAACAAAGCGAGGGGAGTCAAGTGGATGGCAGCTGCTTGTTTCTGAGCCTTTGAATTAGGAGGTGTGGTTTTTTCCTGCCCAGATACGTTAAAAGTGGTGATCTGGGGTTACGGCAGGTGGGCACCTCTCTGCTCAAGAGAGCTGCCCATTTCAGCATTGAGAAGGAATAATCGCTCCGATCTAACCAGTATTTGCCACCTGATTAATTGGTGAGGATGAAAACAAACAAACAGGCTAAGGCTGGGCTACCCGAAAGCTCTCTCGCTGCACCAGCCACTGTGGCACATGGGATTGTGCTCGGTGGGACAGAATCCTCACTTTGCATGGAGGGTGTGGGACAGTCCTCTCTTTTACAGGGGAAAGCCCTTTATCCCAAGGCTGTCCTGTCCAATCCCAGTTTAAGCACCAAGAATCCTCTGAACCACACTTGGCGCACAAATCACAGCCCAAACAGGCCGGTTCATGGGGCAGCTGGTTGCCACCTTCCCTGCTGTGGTCGTGTGCACAGTATTTCTGTTGTAATTGTAAGAAGTATTCCAAATTTGCCCTATGCACCCAAACTAGCACATGCAAACTTTTCCTCGTTTGCATTTCCTCTTTTGGGGCAATTCATTTGTGGCTGCCCCAAAAGCACAGTACCTCTATGAACCGTGGCCATGGCCAATTGAAACCTATTAGTCAGACAAGTAACCAGCTTATCTTTTTAGAAGGGCTTAATGATTCACTTTCTATGCCCCATCTGTCTGTCTGTATCTCTCTTTCTATAGATTTGCCAGAGAAAGACAGTTAATGCTCTGTCTATCTGACTTAATCTTCAGCCAGACAACTGCATGATCTTTTCCTGGTGTCTCTGATGCATTGCTAGAGATTAGCTGACATAGAAACAGGGATAAACTCTTGGTTTTTCTCTTTTAGAGAAAGGTGATGGCTGGATATCTGTCAGGAGCAGGTAGAAAAACAAGAAGCTCTTCTTTATCTTAGCTTAGGAATTCTTCTGCACGGAAGGACTTGGAGGGTGGGGGTCTGGAATGATAGGCTGCTTCGGGAGCCCTGTTTGAACTGTGAAATGGCTCATAAAACAAACCTTTTAAAGTGCTCGAGAAAAGAGGACTGAGGGAAGAGCTGATAGCACGCTATAATTACTTGAAAGGCTGCCACAGAGAGGAAGGACAAGGCCTCTTCTCCATCATCCCCAAGTGCAGGACACGGAATCACGGGCTCAAGTTGCAGGAAGCCGGGTTCCAGCTGGACCTCAGGAAGGGCTTCCTGGCTGTTGGAGCGTTACAGCAGTGGAACCCATGGCCTCGGGAGGTGGCGGGCTCTCCCACACTGAGGCATTCAAGGCGCAACTGGGCAGCGTCCGAGAGGGATGGTTGAAGTCCTGCCCTGAGCGGGGGGCTGGGCCCGGTGGCCCTTTGGCCCCTTCCAACCCTACTTTTCTAGGATTTAAAGATGAAAGTGTTCCTGAGCGGGGGGGGGGGGGCGAATGGAGCAGAAGAGACAATGGGAGGGATCTTTCCCCCGAGGACAAATGTCACATCCTTGGGAGACCGGTGCTTCGTGCTGAAGTTCCTGTGTTTTGCCTCTCAGGCTTACCTGGTCTTGTATCGGTCCGGCTTTTGGGTGAGTCCGACCCACTGAATGGAATTTCACAACCAAGTAGCTATTTCCTCCCGCTGTCCCCAGCTACGATTCGGGAAGAAATAAATTCACTTGTATCTCGTCAGCTTTTCTTAGGCATATTTTCCTTAGATACCCCAACAGGATAACATCTGCTTCTCTTCCACAAGTGTATAGTTTGACTTCTCATGCAGTTTTGTGTTTGGTTACTTGCATGATAAACTGGACACATACAAGAGTACAGCTAATCAAGTACCTCCCCCCCCCCATCTGATGCATCTGTCTTGAGTTTAGCTGGGGAATTTTCATCTTTCCCATGGCAGGCTCCTGAGTCAGTAAGAGATTCAGTCAGCTCACAGCCCTTTGTTTATTCTTTAATTATACTGCCATTTATTAAAAATCTCATGATGGCTTACCGAAAAATATCAAAAAATTAAATCAGCGTTAAATGATGGAACACTTCTGCTGGAAAGCCTTTGTCAGAACCCAAATGGTTCAAAGGTCCTACGTTCAAAATGTGAACATTAATGTCTAGAGCCCTGACCGGCTTGGGGTCCGGTCAGGTTTTCTAAGGAAGCGCCTGTTCCCGTAAATGCCAGCCTGGCCCCTAAAATTGTCACCTGAGCTCCTCCTCAGGAAGCCTGCTCTGGAGGAAGTAAGGAGGGTGCTGCAAGAAGAAGGGCCTTCCTAGTGGTGGTGCCAACTCCGGAATCACCTCCCCAGAGAGGTTCGCCTGGCACCTTCGCTACTCGGTGCCAGGTAAAGCCCTTTCTATTAGCCCAATAGTTCAAGTAACTTTTGGAGAATTTTGAAATACGGCATTTATTGTATTTTAGTGCTACTGGCCCTGGCTTATTTTGAATCGTGACTGCTGTGGGTTTTTCTTGTGTTGTTATTCTCTTGTGGCAAGCATTTATGCTAGATTTATTACTATTGTTCCACTGTGTGTTGCTGTTGTTTTAAATTTCTGTAAGTTGCCCAGAGAGTAAGCCCAGGTTATGAGCGGGGTAGAAATTTAATAAATATAAACGATCAGACAGGAACATCATGTGAAGTTCTGTTTCTTCTTTATGAAAATCATTGCTTAGGAGAGCTGTGCAGCTCATGAGGAAAATGTGGAAATGCAAATAACTATTTTGGATAAATGTTTGCAAGGCAGCCTATCATTCGGGTTGGTGCAGGAGTCTTGCACGGTGGCAAGGCTTCTGAGGCAAATATTTCTCACAATCCTCAGCAGACTGGGGCTCGCTGCTATGCATTTTTAGACAGCAAAAAGTCAATCTGCTCCTGACAGTCCCCAGCCAGGTCCTCGGGCCAGGGGACTTTTTCTGTAAACATGTTTAGGATGGTGCAGTGCCTTTCGATGTATTTTTTTTCAAATTTCAGGATTGGACTTCATAAAATTTTCAGTGCCCCATGCTGGTTATTTTTAAACAGAATTGGCCGGTTTTAGTCCCCTTCCTTCATGTTTGATCTTCATCTTTGCTACATCCATAACCCCACGACTGGCCACCTGCATGTCCAAAGGGTGGCCTGTAACGAAGCCCAAATGAGGCTCTTCGGAATGGGAGACCCGAATAGAAACGGGGTTGATCATGAAAGATAAGAGACGTATAAATCATTGTGCTTTGTTCTCTTGATGTCCTCGTTGCCATGGCACTGCAGAAAGCTTTCAGAGAGTGTATATGAATAAGATCCTCGGCACGCAAAGAGTCATGTTCAAAATGTCAGAGAACATCTTGAAATGCAAACCACGCCATACGGAAAACGTCTAGAAGATTTCTCTGAGCTGGTTGGAGGGAAAGACCACGACAACCCTTAGATCAGAATCCATCCATGCAAAGAAGGAGTGTTGGAACTCAGACGGTGGGTGAAACCTGGCTGGCCAGATGGGGTAGTACGTTAGGCTCCACCCCTCTTGCTGTGGGACCACCCACACTGAAATGCAGCATCTGAGTCCACCTCCAAAACGGAATTTGTTCCCCCACCTAAAAGAGGTTCAACGCCCTGATGCTTCATTTCAGAAGTGGAGGCATCTCCTATCTGTTGGAAGCCAAGTTGCATCCGCCTGGCCAGTTCCTGATTCCTCGTCAACACCCCTTTTCTTTGCTGCTCCCTTCCCACCAGCTTTCTTGAAAACCATTTCAAATGTTTTCTAAAAATAGGGGATTCTGAGACAAGGAGGCCCGTGTTTGATGTGAGAGCCTGTCCTGGACCCTCACAGAGTGATCTTGTCCAGGGCTTCAACCAGCCTGAAAGAGGGTCCCAGTTGTGCAGATCGAAGCGGGCTGGGCTGGGCTGGGCTGGGCGAATTGAGGACAGGAGAGGGCAAAATGGCTTGGCCGTTGCTGTCGAAGACCCACTCCCGGCAGGTGAAGGCCGCTACAAGGGTTGCTTCGGCTTGGATCAGTGCAGGTGCTGGGAGTTTTGAACATTTCTTGCAGGCGAGTCAGGATGAGGGCCTACTTTTTCATGTTCACTGCCACACCCCTGATATTAAATAAGTGCCAGATCTGTCATGCAAGCAGAATGTGGGGGGAGCAACGAAAGACTTGCCTGGAAAGTCTGGTGCCAGGCCTGCTTCAGGAGCAGTTTGCAAGAGGATTAAATTCAACCCCTGCTTTTTCTTTATTTTCCCTTTCTAGGTTTCTCATGAGTTTGCCATTAACTTCAACCCTACCAACCCTTTTTGTCTTGGTAAGTAAACACATGAGCAAGATCCCAGGGGTTTCCGGCCACTCAGGAAGACGCAGACCCTCTTATTCACCCTTGCAGCTGATGGAGAAAGAGAAGGGCCTTAGGGATGGCGAGATTACTGCAAGAAAGGGGCATGCCGGGAGTGGAAGACCCCCTTTTCTGCCTGAACTTGCCTAGGATTGCAAGTGTATGCAATTTAAGCTGCAATCCTACAGAACTGAGGACTGAACCTCTTTCCACCTCAGGGCCAAATTCAGTTTTGGAAAAGTGATTAGTCGTTAGATGCCAGTGCCGGTTAGGGCCAAATGTCCAAAATGACAGTCTGTTTTTGTGTAAAGACTGGGCTTCCCCGGGAGGTGGTTGAGGCCCCATCGGGGAGGGTGTTCAAGGACAGGCTGGACATGCACACAGTGGGCATGTCGTGAGTAGAGCCAGCTGGAGCCGGGGGTCAGACTAGATGGCCCGGGAGGCCCCTTCTGACCCACTCTGTTTCTGTGTTTCAAGAAAGAAGAGGTGGGCCATGGAATGTCCAAACATTCCATCCACACTGCGTCCTGTACCCCATGGTGAGGACTTGCCAATTCCAGATCCACCAGAATCCTACTCTCTAGACTCAGATGATGATAAAGATGAGGAGCAGGATGCAGCTGATCGAGGGCTGTTGATGTCAGTGGACCCAAACTTCACCCCACTATATGCTCGTCCTGGACCACTTCTGATTTCACAGAGTGAACTAAATTTGGAATAGTTGGTGTGGCACCATTCTCATTGCTACATCACATTTTGCAGAAAAGTTATGGAGCATAATCACACATCCCCCTTGTAATTTTGAATTATTTTGATGCAATTTTGACCTGAAGCTGCATCTTGGAAACTGGAGCCAATTAATACTCAGGACTTAATTTTCCTTTATTAGTGACCCAATTCTGGTAAAATGTAGCTACTTTCATTTCTGAGACTTTCTCCTTGTAGACAAGTGTAATTGGACACCTAGGGATGAAAACTTAACAGAGTCACTAGATGGTTTTATCGCTTGCCAGTTCAGGTAGGCATTTAAATAGATCCAAACAGAACACTGTGTCTTTTTCTTCTCCCTCTCCCGTGTTTGTCTTCTGTATTTCTTCTGCACTCATCTGGATGAGTTCTCCTACTGCCATTTCTCCTTCTCATAGCTAACCTGGCATCTTCTTTGGACCAGAACTAGGCATGTGAAGGATCTCATGCCTTTTAGGGAAGTAAAGTCTGCAACAGGAGACTGGATTGAGATTGTGGGGTTGGGAGAAAACGTTCCAATCTTCATGCAGCCTGAGCTCACTGTGTTTTCTCAGTGTTCTAAGTGTAGAGTATTTACTAAGAGAACGAAATTCTGCCCTGGGGATGGGAGAAGCTGCTCTTCTGCACCCTTAGTCCACCTGGCCTAATGCTGGCCACGCTAATTGGCAGCCTGGCTTGCCAAGGGCATTTTTGCAGCCCTGCTTGGATCTTGCTGAGGATCAAACCTTGATCTTTCTGCTTGCAAAGCAGATTCTCTGCCACTAGCCATGCCTTCTCCTTCTGTATCATCCAGTTATTGATACACACTGTAGCAGAATCAAAACATAATAAAAATAGAGCTCCATGAGTGTTTGCAAAGCAACATCAAAAACATACAAGCAAGTCGGTTGCTGAAGAGGTTTCAATTGGCTTAGTGTGGTTTGTTCCTTTCATTGTTGTCTTTTAATCCCTATTTCGTTCGTAATGTTTACTCTGTTCTAAGCTGACTTAAGGCACCTTTTTAAGTGGGAAACCAGGATATGAATGAAGAAATGGAATATATATTTAAAAAAAAATCTCTGCTCCAAGGACCTTACCAACTTAAGTTCCAGCTGCAGAGGGGACCAAAGCAAGAGGAGGGCTTGGAGTGGCAAGGCTATGAAAGGAAAAATTAAACAAACGCAGGGCATTTTTAGGGGTGAAGTTCTGGGAATGCAATGCTGATGAATCAAAATAGCTTGCCTTGGGAAAAGGAAGGCAGGCTCTTGGGGACTGATGTCCCGTCAAGAAGCTGCAGAACTCACCGTGCATCTTTCCTCCACTGCTCCAAAGGTGTGGATGGCATCGCCCAGGCCTACTCCACCTGCCTGCCTCACATACGCTTCTACGGACCAACCAACTTCTCCCCCATCATTAACCACGTGGCCCGGTTTGCAGCCCAGGCGACCCAGCAGGAATCCGCAGCCGTAAGTGCCGGCGCGTTTTCTCTTCTCTTTTTCTCCTCTCGCGCTGGTCCTGGGATGTCAGTGGAAAAGCTCGTTCGCAGCTTGGCGTCTTTCAGCTTCTGGGGAGCAGAAGTTGCCAGAAGAAGTGTTGGGAAGAGGCCCACTGCACTGCACAGCCCAAAGGGAGTCTTTGCTCGCTGGGTCCTGCAAAACGACTCGCTGACCAGGTGCAGACGCGTGGCTGTTGCTGCAGAAGAGTGTGTGCGGGAATGTGGGGTGAGGGATGCAGCCCCACCGTCCCTGTTTACTCTCTCTGCTTTTGGATCCTTGATGCTGGCAAATGCCTCTCCCATTTTGTCCCCCAAGTTTTGCTCGAGGGAGATCCCCTTTTTCAAAGCTGTCCTGAGTGCAACTTTAGAACGCGAGTCTCTGATGGCGGCATCTTGTTTCTGGAGTTCATCCATGCACAAGGCAGGTGCACGAACACTGGGCAACATGCAGGGCGTGTTTTGTAGCTCCATGTATGCAGGAGAAAAGGACTGGGAGGTTGCTGAGTTCCCCTCTTGCCCACAGAGGCTTTGGGTCCCTGGCCAGGCGGGCGCATCCTTGCGTCAAACGATCCCACTTGCTGCAGTGTTCAGGAAAGAAGAAAAAACCTTGCGCGGGTGTCAAGGGTGCGGTGCTCTCTGTTTCTTTAGCCACTGCGTAGGTCGGGGAACCAAATGTCGAGGTGAAAGCAGTGGGGTGGGGGTGGTTCTTGGTCCAGAATTCTGCTGGAGGCTTTGTGCAAATTTCCTAGTCTGTGCTCCATTTCCTGCAACTGCAATTCCAGGAATCTTGTGCAGAATCTATAACCTTTTGTGCCCTGGGTTGGTGGTGTTGACAGGGAACTGCTTGGTGAATGTGGACATCACTTGTTTTAAGTCATATGTACGCTCTTTGTGTCTGATTTATAGAATCACAGAAAGGTAGAGTTGGAAGGGGCCATGAAGGCCACTGGGTCCAACCCTCTGCTGTTGCCGGACACCAATTTACACCATCAGGTTCAAGAATCTTTGCAGGGAGAGGGCAAATTAAAGGCCTAGACCAGAACAAAAGATCCATTTTCCAATGTGAATTGCTTTGAACCGACGCATTAAGCAAAGGAATCTGCAAAGTGTAATGTGCAGGCAGAGAACGCATGGCCCTGTGGCTGGCTGGGAGGGAGGATACTGGGGATTGTAGTTCAAGATACTGGAGGACGATGCTGTCCTGCAGAAGTTGAAATGGGCACCTGAAATAAAGACACGGGTTTTAGCTCTTCTCCCGAGTGAGATGCAGGGCTGGCAAGCCAGGGCATGATGCATTTTTTGAAAATGATCTGTTCCAGAGAAGGCAGGGAGGAGGGCCTGGTGTTCAGAGCAAAGGTGTGCATGAGTAAGGGAAGCGTATCCCTTCCCTCTGTGGTTTACCTCCTGCAGGTAGCCTGGGCTGGATTTGTTGTGTCTGGTTCTTTCTGCTCCTCCTTGACGAATCAGCCCTTCTGGTAGTTGCCTTCAGACCAGGCTTCCGCTCAGATAAGATGCCTTCCTTGTGCGAGTTTTGGGATGCACTTATGTGTTCCCCATAGCAACGAAGGAGCCAATCAGCCCTTGAGGAAAAGAAAGCGGGAAGAATCTACTAGAGAATCAAAGCCAGAGCTGGACTGCTAGCTATGGGCTGGACCACTGGTGCCGAGGACCGTGTCCAAGGCAACGCACCCACAAATGCATTAATAATCAAGATGATTACTTGATGGGTGCTCGATTGCTCTTGATGATGTTCTTGATGACGTTCGCTGTCGCGTTATCGCCCTCTGCTACCTGGCCATGTTTGTTTTCTGTGGGCGAAAGGAGTGTTTGTTCTGTGTTTGCCAGCTGTCCCTGATGAAGGGCTTTTCGGGTCCTTGCCTTCGCCTCTTGGTGACCTATCATGCCCGCTTGGGATAATGGTAGCCAGTCCACGCAGGATCAGTCTGCCCGATCTTCATCGCAGAGACCTCTTCCCGTGATGCATGGCAAGAGCTCCAGTCTCGCTCGTCATTCATCCCTCCTCTCATTCACACTGGCCAGCCCAGGTCATTGGGTCGCTCCTAGAAGGATAGCATCAGAGAAGAGTAGAGCTGGAAGGGGCCTGGAAGGCCATGGAGTCCAACCCTCTGCAGGTTAAGGCATCTCTGACAGAGGGTTGCCAAGCCCCCTCTTGAATGCCCCCAGGGTGGGGGAGCCCACCACCTCCCCAGGCCGCTGGTTGCATTGCTGTGCAGCTCTGACAGTCAGGAAGTTTCCCCTGCTATCTGGCTCCCTGCAACCTGAGCCCATTGTTCCGTGCCCTGCACCCTGGGCTGAACGGGAGGGGATCTTGCCCTTCCCCTCTGACAGCCTTGCAGGCACTTGAAGCGGGTGGTCCTGTCTCCCCTCAGGCCTCTCTCCTCAGGCTCAACATGCCCCGATCTCCCACAGGGCTGGGTTTCCAGTCCCTGGATCCTCGTTGTTGCTGCCTGCATCTTTCTTGAAGTGCTGCCCGGAACTGGACACAGGATTCCAAATGAGGCCGAGCCGGTGCTGAACAGGGGAGAGCAACGCCTTGCATTATCTGCAACCGATGTGTTCCATTAATGCAGCCCGGTGCAGCAGTAGCTTTGCTGGCAGCCACATCCCGTGGCCGGCTGCAGCTTAGTCGATGCACCGCATGGTAGGTGAGCATGTGCTCCAGGCACCAGCACTGACATGCCTTCTATGCACAAGCTGCGCTTGGCCAGCCCTGGCCAGTTCTTGAACTCCCCAGCGGTGCTCTCTGCTCCCGGATGCACGAGGTGGCGAGAACCCCGTGGCCTCCATCCCCTCGTCCGGCCTGCGTTCCCCAGCAGCAGCACTCTGGCACGGCCATCACCAGGCCCCCCTGTGCTCCCAGTGGATGCTGCTAGGTCAGGACGGTCTGTTGATTTCTTTTATTTATTGAGGCCTCTTAATAGATACAGTTCCCTGCATCCAGATGGTTGAAGGAGATACGGATTGTATCTGGTTAAGGGAGGAAGCATAAAGGACAAAAGTGAGCTCAAACAGACGGAAGGGCGAGGCAGGAGCTCGGTGGACTCAGAAAGAACTGCAAAGGCTCTTTGAGGAGGTCTGGCAAGGAAGGGCTTTATGGCAGGGGATTAGTTGCAGTTTTGCATCATTGCCGTCCAGCACGAGTGGAGGGCAGGGCAGTGCTCACTCATGCCTTCGGGCCTTGCGGGAGGCAGGCTGAGGGAAGGGGATCGCTGGGGGAAACTCTGCCGCTCTCTGGTGAAGTCCCAGTGCTGGTAACTTCTGGCAGTTTATGATAGAAGGGGTGGTGGTGGCCAGTTCCCCATTAAGTCACCATTCAGCCAGAGAAACCCAGCCGCCTGCGCAGAAGTTAGTCTGGAAGGGACCTAGGAAGAGCCACTGCCCTTAGGCGCACAGCTCGGTGCTACGGTATAATGCAGATCAATTCCCATCATCTGTAGGTGTGTCTAGGAAAGGATCCTGATTCAGACCTTGCAGCTGGCACACAGAGCTGAAGGGAGGATGGATCTCCACAACCACAAGACCTAGAAACTTGTTTGTGTGTATTTAATGACAGCGGCTGCCGACTTCTCTGCTAATACCCAGGTCTTGGGCACGTTGTGGTTTCATGTTGTGCTTTCTGCGAGTCTGTAGCAAACAGCTGAGCTGAACTGAATTGCTGCCTTTGAAGGACTCTTGCTTGTTAAACGCCCCCCGCCCCCCCCGCCGAGGAGGGCCAGGGCGGATTTGGAGTTGCGAACGGTGATTGCAATGGGTGGTGCGTATAAATGGAAGCCATTGACTTTCCTTGCCTGCGCAGAGGGTCTTTCAAAGAAGCAACATCAATCCCTTGGGGGGAATTAGATGTAATTACTAATGTATTTAAGTCTGCGCATTTTAATCTGTGTACTAGACGAGTGAGTGATGTCCGTGGCATGTTGTTATATCCTTGAATGCTTTATCAGGAAGGGTGCAAGGAAGAAAAAAGCTAGAAGAGGACAGATTTGGCTGGATTTATTTAGTATTTTATTTCTAATCGGGCGCATAACCAGCACTGTGAGCAGATATTTTGGAACTTTGATCCGAACAGGGAAATAATGGCTTTGTTTATTAACCTTTTGTTTTTTAAAAATATGCACACTGCCTTTCATCGAAACTGCCATGGCAGCTGACACAAATTAATACTAAAGCATGATACAAATTAACCTCAGATACGATAACGATAACAGAAGCACCATGAAAAGAACAATTAAACAAGAAACTGCAGAAATGAGGGCATGTCACAGCTGGGGCAATAAAACAGCTGGGTGTGTGTCCTTGGAGAAAACATCCGAAAATGGGAAGCTGCCACTGAAAAGGCCCTGTCTCTAGCTGCCGCCCCTTTGCTTCTGCTGCTGTGGGCAAATCAGAGAAGGCCTTTAGAAAGAAGATGGATGGATGGATAATTCTATACAGATTCCAGTGGCTTACTTATTTCGTACATCTAAAGCAGCAGTCCTCAAACTTTTTCAATAGGAGGCCAGTTGAAAGGCTGCGGTGAGTCGGGTGCACGCGAGGCGGTGGCTCGCTTGCTCGGAGATCTCCCAGTGAGTCCAGAACCATCTCTGGGCGAGCAAGCCACCGCTCCCTGCCCGTGCAGCAAGCGGCAGTGCGGGCCGAATGGATGGCCATGGCGGGCCGGATCCGTCCCACGTGCCGTACTTTGAGGGCCCGTGTTCTAAAAGCTCAAGGCAATTAACAGGAGCCATTGACACAAAAATCCAATTAGAATGGAATGCCTAAGATGCCTAATGCACATTCAGACGCCCTCCTTGTCCCAGCCTGACCTGCTGGTTCCCAGGAGCTGGAAGCCACTTGGGTGTTCCTTGCGTCTCATGATGCTTTGCAGCCTCCAGCTCTGAAACTGGGGGCATGCCATCCATGTCGCCGTCACCTAACCTCACCCACCACATCAGGATGGCTCAGGCGGCACAC